GAGCTTTCTAGAGAAGTGTGGAAGTCTATAGAAGCGTGTGGAAGAATGTAGTGTTCTCTAGAATATTCTAGAACTATGTGGAGTCCTCTAGATTCTTCTAGAACATTATGGAAGTATGTGGAGACTTTCTAGAAGATTCTAGAGATAAAGAGATGTGTGGAACATTCTAGAGAAGCCTGGCCTTGGTGAGGAGTATAAATAGGGGTATGGATGCCTCATTTGGCAATGAATGTGGAGGAAGAAGAGAGTGAAAAACCAAGAAGGCTTCTTGAGAGTGCTTGTGAGTGAGGTGTTCCTAATACAAAGAGTGAAGTGTGCTACCCGTGTAATTCTAATCTCTCTTGTACATTTTCTCTATATAATATAAAGTCATTTTCTAAAAATCGTGTCTTTGTATTATTGAGTGTATGTGAGTGTACAAGAGTTTGGTTGTGTGAATCGGGGAAAGAGGTCGAGACACGCATCAATTCCCCAACATATCTTATAACCAAAGAGAAGTTTTAGTGCCATAAAAAAGTACATACATGCAAAACAACATAATCTTCTTGTTTGGTTTGGTGATTGTTGTCGTTAAAAGCAATAGTTGAATTTTCATAATGCCCCGAAGTATTAAAGATGCCTCATGGATACCTTTGTATTAACTTGAGTGTATTTTTTTAAAATTTTCAATGTATGATAATGAATTAAAGTATGTTGCCATTTTCATATGCTTTTTCCAATCTAGCAGTGTAAACACGAATATTTCTGAAAGCAATGAGGACTTAAAAAGTTGGTTAAAAAGATGATCTATCTAGGTTCCAAAATATATAAATAATATTCTCTAGTCACTCAGTTGTTGTTGTTGTATAAAAAAAAATCAAGATTCAAATAATGTTTTGATTACATCAAGAATGATGTTCCAAAATGTAGCAATAAGTAGGTCTTTATTAGTGCGTATGATTCACATCAATTGAAAGAGAATTACTCACTCCCTCCCAAATTATTTGCAACGTTTGCTTTTTCAGCAGTCGTAGAAACTTTTGTTTATTTCTATGTTTTCATTGGTTATTTGATAAATAAAATATTTTTGACACCTCTTATTTCGAAAAACTTTTCATGTAGTTTATTTATATGTAAATTTTATTTTTTATTTCTATACCAATATATAAATAAAATGAATTGAAAAAAGTTGATATTTTATCTGAAGAATACAAATGTAGCAAATATTTAGAGACGAAAGAATTAATAAAGTTTTAAAATAAATTTAACACGGAATTGGAAAGTGGCTAGCGTGTAAACGGCGTCAGGGGTAGAGTGGGGTGTAATTTGCACCGTACAACTTTTAGACCTAAATATTTACAACATTTGTTTTTTTAGCAGTGTAGGGAACTTTTGTTTATTTCGACGTTTTCATTGATTATTTGATAAAATAAAATATTCTTGACTCTTCTTATTTCGAAGAACTTTTCATGTAGTTTTTTTATATGTAAATTTTATTTTTTATTTCTTTACCAATATGTAAATAATAAAATGAATTGAAAAAACTTGATATTTTGCCTCGGGAATACAAATATGGCAAATAATTTGGGACGGAGGGAGTAAGTTTTTTGGATGAAAAAAAGAACATATTATTAAGGGGTACCTAACTTAATTTCATGTTTATATAATAAATAAAGATAAGAAGAAAGATATATATATATATATATATATATATATATATATATATATATATATATATATATATATATATAGAGAGAGAGAGAGAGAGAGAGAGATTAATTCCAGTGAGATGAGATGATTCGGTGAGATTACGCAAAACGCACCAGACTACACTACAAAGCTCACCAATGGACAATGCAAAGCTCACCTAGAAATAAAGTAAAGCTCACCACTTTGAACACCAAAACTTACCTTTTTTTTAAATTTTGAAAATTAAAAATTAATAAAAAATAAAATAACAACACCAGTCAACCACAGGTCAGCGGCGGCGACAGGCGGTGGAGCAGCGGCGGTTTCCTACGACCAGCGAAGGCAGGCGGCAGAGCAGAGGCGGATTTCGGCGGCAGGCGGCAGTCAAATGTCGCGGTCAACGGTCAAAATCTAGTCAGCACCCCTTCCTTTGATTTTATTTTTTCAAAAAAATTCAAAGTGTTGAAAAAATATGATGAGCTTTGTCTTACAGTTTGGTGAGATTTGTAGTTGTGTTTGGTGAGCTTTGCAGTAAGCAGTGATAAGTTTTGCATCATCTGACCGTAGCAGTAAGGTGTCATCTCACTGGAGTTATATATATATATATATATATATATATATATATATATATATATATATATATATATAGAGAGAGAGAGAGAGAGAGAGAGAGAGAGTAAAATAAACACTCTTATACTCTGTAATATTGTTAATGATTTAATTAATATTATTCAACCCCGCAAAAGATGTTATTGATCGAATGTTTAGTACAAATAGTATAACAAAAATAAATAAATAAAATGGAGGTAGTATCTTGCACTCATTCCGTCTCTAAAAGGTTTTCACAGTTTCACTTTTTTGTCAAACTCTGTGAAATCATTTGACCATGAAGTATGAGAAAAGCATATTTAGTTATAATTTAAATTTAAGAAAACACAAGCAATATGTATCTACCCGGAGTACAGAGCTATATTTACAAAAAAGGTATTCATCTTTATTTTTTTTGATATGGGAACTCCAACACATATCATCAACATGTTTACTTTAGAACATACTAGCATGTTCATTTTACTCTAGCATGTTTGCGAATAGCGTTAGAGATTAGCGTTGACATTTTTAAAAAGCTATCTACAAACAACATTTAACGTTTCTATTTTCAAAGTTAATTTGTACTCCGTATCTTAAAGATTTTATCTAAAACCTTAACGTTAATCCAAAACGTAATTCCTAAACAGACCCTTCATTGGAAACGTTGGGAAACTTTATTGCTTATAAGTACCTTTTTTACACAAAAGACAAACACAAGCAATATGTATCTACCGAGAGTATATTGTTCTTTTGTTTCACAAGTGGATTCCACTAGTATGCCCTTTTTAAAAAAAGTGTAGATCAATCATCGGAGAAATTTACCTAAATAGGACTAAAACATAATGACTTTCTCAATATAGGACCATATGTTTTTATTTCTCAATGTAAGACTTTTGGTCATCATCAATTAGTCATTATTCATCTAAATGTCCATCATTACTGGACGTCATTCCTTCCATTAGACATTATTAAATCTTATTTAGGGAATAAAAAAGTTTTAAATCCTACATTGGAAAATGACTTATGTTTTAGTCCTATTTAGTGCAAATTTCACCAACCATTATTATACTTATCTCGCACACATTAGACATGAATTTCATCTCTAGTTTAGAAGTTGCTGAAGAATTGCTCATTTGTGATGATTTGTTGAGATTATTCTTCAAGTTCTGAATTTCCCTCAAATTATAATTTTACTCATTATATCAATAAGAGTTTGTTCTATTAAAAAATCGTCATTAAGGTGTGATAGTAAAAAACAAAACATGTCCAATTGATTGAATATATACTTGTACACGCGGGTTTCAACTCTTCTTCTTGAGTGTGTGTAAATTCAAGTTCATCAGAAATGCAATTCATCATCATAAATAAACCTAAAGATACTTTTTATATGCACCAAAAAACAAAAGCCAAAGTAACATCCAAGTTCTAACACCTAAGTGTTATAAAAAAACATGCACACTATAAATCTGAAAACCACTAAATTTACCTCAAAAGCTTCTTTTGTTGCTGCTGCTGCTAGTTCTTCCACTATCAATGACTACTTGTTTCTCTGTAAAAAAATACTACGGAGTAGAAATTAGGTTTCATTTGCTAATGTTTTCTGAGTTTTCCTTCTCCAACTGAAATAAATAAAGAATAAAAACAAAACAAAGTGTTCATCAAAAACATATTAGTTCAATTCATGCAACACATAGGATTAATGCACGGATTGGTAGAATCCAGCAGGTGTGACAAATGGACAGCTAGATTATAAAAACTTATAGAATTTTCCGAAAATCTCTTCCAATTGAACATGCCATATAAGTAAGAGTTATCAAAACAGCACGATTCATATTGGTTGGTTAAATTCTTTTTTAAGAGAGAAAAACATGTACTCCATCTCTTTGGATTCAGTTGTCCACTTTCTTGTTTTCATTTGCCTAGAATGAGTTTGTCTAAAATAATCTTGAGATAGGGAATGGGCCTTGTTGACATACACGAATGAATGACAAACTCATTTGAAGGACTCGTTTGACATTTTAAAATTGTTTCCTACAAACGAATTTTTTTAAAAGAAAGTAAACAATTAAATCGGAACATCCGTATCTAAGATTTAGAAAATGTTCGTCAAATACAAATAAAAAAATGAGATTATTTTCTGTGATTATAAAAAGTGGGATTATTTTTTTAAAAAAACACGAAAAAGGTGAGATTATTTGAGATAATTTATCATAAAATTAAAAACTATATATATATATATACACACACACACACACATACACATATACATATATATACACACATATACATACATATATATATATATAAAGAATGAGTGAAGTATGTGATTGCACCAACAAGTCAACAACTTCCCATTCCGTTTTGCAATTTGTTCATACATTGGCAATACTCCTGATACTCCTTCCTTCCTCCATAAATTTCTTTCTTGATTTAATTTGTATAAAGATTAACAAAAATTAAAAAGTATAAAAATTTATCTATTGATTACCATTGATGTGATAAATGATAAGTAAAGTGAATAAAATAAATAAAAAAGTGAGAATATAACGACTTATTCATTAAAAGTTTTTTTTTATAAAAATAAGAAAAGAAAAAAAATATTTTTAGACGGTCCAAAAAAATGAAAAAAAAAATAAGGGAGACTGGGAGAGAGTAATTAGGCATAAATACGGAGTCATAGCAAAACTTTAAAACCCCAAAAAAAACAGCGGAGGCATCGGCAACGGTAACTTGCCGCGAAAGCCGTATCGCCGTCGGTCAAAATGAGCGAGTCCCCCATCGAACCGGATAGTACGCCCTGCCCTTCTCCCCGGCCTCACATACCGGTTGAGATCATCAGCGACGAGGAAATGGCTCTCATCGACGCTGCCCTAGCCGCCGCCTGCCCTTCCATCTCCTGTTCGACTCAGTTGCAGAGAGGCGTCAGGTCCATCCACTCGATTACTCTGTTATCAAAGCGGCGGGTTTCTGGGTGCACGGAGTCTGGATCATCGCCGACCCGTGATGTTGAAGATGTTGGGAATCGGATTGTAAGCCCCCGCAAGAAGAACCGGCTCAAGGAATCACTTTTACAGCGGTTCAGGCGAAAAAGGGGATTGGCTGTTACTGATATTACTGCAACGGTATATAAACTTGAATTCTATTTCTTCTGTTTGGGTTTGGATTCCATGATATGGGTCTGTTTCCTTTTGGTTGAAATTT